AGAGAGAGAGAGAGAGAGAGAGAGAGAGAGAGAGAGAGAGAGAGAGAACGGGAGGCAGACAGAGGGAGAGAGGATACTTGCTCACATATAGAGGGCAGAAGTCAGCTTGTGGGAATTGGTTATTTCTTTGCATCCTGTGGAATTGAACTCAAAATCCTATGCCCCCTCTCATTTTTCCCTGGATGCTGTTAGCCACAAGCCTGATGGGAAAGGGGGAAGACATGGAGATCAGAGTTCAGATGACCATCAGTACGGACAGAATGACTGCCAGAGACTGTTACATTGAGACAAGTCTACTTTATTGCTTAAGGGATAGGGTATAGAAGGAATTTTGGGAGTATAGTACGAGTGGAAAGGGCTAATTGTTTCTGTATTCTAAGCAGCAGAAAGGGCTGATTGGTTATAGTACAGGACCTAATTTTCATGGAGGTGGGAAGTCAGAGTGGGATGCATGTGCTGAGTTACACACCCTTGCAGAGAGCATTGTACAAGGTCACTTTTCAGACAAGTGCACACAAGGCCAGCCACTGTGATCAGGGACACTCTCCAGACAAAGACAAAGAGAATCAGGAAAGCCCTGTGAAGAAGATTGTCCCCTACGTTGCACCAAGCTTTGAAAGCAGTCTAGTCCTTGGGGACTGCTAGCTTATAGGTCCTCAGACTTAGTGACAAGAATATTTAGCCATCTTACGAGCCCATTTCAAAATTCTTCCATACAAAGTAGAAACTCAGTATAGGAAGAACATGAAAGTCTTCACAGAGCTTGTGAATGTTCAAACAGTAAGTGAATTGCTGACATGTGATCCTCTTTCAGGTTGTCTTACTGCTGTCTCACATTCATTGCCTGTGGCCATCTTTATGAAGCCCTTTTGAGCAACAAACATCTCTCCCTGCTTGATTTGGGGTCAAATTTCCTGGAAGATGCTGGAGTGAAACTTTTGTGTGAGGCTTTGAAAGACCCAAACTGCACCCTTGAGGAGTTATGGTAGGGCTGTGTTCTCACCTATTGCTGGTGCTGCTGTTTCAGGTGTTGGCATTTAGAAGTAGAAGGGTAGAATTGTCTGAATGTCATTGTCACTTCAGAAATTGTCTTACACCAATTGTCTTACACCTGCCACCCATGATACCAATCTTAAGACATGGAGCCCTGGGTGATTGGATCACGAATGTGAGTCCACATGAGTGGGTTTACTTCCCTGATAAAAGAAGCCCCAGCCACTACTGCCTTGTCCATCACATAACAACATTTTTACAGTCCAACAAAGCTGGGGGGAGATGACTCAGTAATTGGAAGCCCTTGTCACTGAGTCATAAGAAACAGAATCTGGATCCCAGCACCCAGGTCTGGTAGTCGACAAACACCTGTAACTCCAGCACCAAGCACCAATGTCCTCCTGTGGCCTCCATGTGCACCACCTGGACATGTACACACACACACTCACAAAGGTATATGCACACAGACACAAGTGAAAAAGAAGTTGTATCTATGAGCCAGAAAAATCAGGCTTTCTACACATACTGTAGCAACCAGCTTATACCTTGACCTTGGGTTTTTTATGTGACTGACATACAAGCAATCTAGCCTAATGTTGTGTTAAAGCAGGCCAAACAGATTAACACACCACAGAGGATGATGTCTGCTTGAGAAAACAAGGCTGTGATTATGACAGCTGATTCTCCTAGGATGCTCAGTGGCTTCCTGAGTGTAGTCTTAATCAAAGGAGTTGTTTGAAAAAAGGCTGTGTGGTATGCAGCTCTTGAGTTGGAACTGAATGGAATGAAGGTTATCATTAGTGGCAGTAGGCACTCGGGCAGGGGATTTTTCTTACACTTCTCCCTCGATGTATAGGAAGGTGAAGTACAGTCCTCATCTGAAGAACTGAGACGAGGGACCTGTGTGCACATCAGGCACAAAGGGATTGTGTCTATGTACAAAAGTCAGTTTCTAAATCTTTACACTATTGGACTCTTGTTGTGGCTGTCCTGAGAATTGTAGATGGATGTAGCAGTATGTGTACATAAATTAGATGCAAGTCACCCTGTGGCCTAGTGTGACAAACCAAAATATCTCTAGATGATATTTGCATCTCCCGGATGGTAAAATTCATCCCTGCTTATGAGCCATTAATAGACACACACCTATTTTCCCTGCAAATGCATCTGTATGTATACCTCCATCAGTCATAAATCTCTGTGTATGTATGAATACCTCCAT